TCTTTACATTTATTAATTCTGATGCTTTCATATGCATCTAATTGCCTGTAATTTGAGACTTGTTTAATTAATTTTAAATTATTAAGATCTATACAATGTTCTTTATCAACAATATGTTCGGCAACGCAAGATTTATCCGGTCTACCATATCTTATCTGAGCTAAATGTTCTTTAAATCTAGTTAATATTGATCTTCTAGTTTGCCCAACATATTTCTGATTACAATCTTTACAAGAAATTTCATAAATACCCGACCTTTCCAGTGGAGATGTTTTATCCTTTGGATTACCTAATAATTGTTGTAATTTATTATTAGCACTATACACAAGTTTATAATTGACATTCTTAAAAATTCCTTTTAGACCACGGGTTAACTCCCTATCAAACGGTATCGAAAAAATATTTAGACGTATCTTTCTCCACTTGAAAAGTCGAATTTTCAGAAATCATTAACCTATACCTACGTTTTCTAATTAATTTATCAACTAGTGAAGGAGAATATCCATTACACTCAGCTACATTCCTAATGTAATCTCTTTCTATTTCATATCTTTCGTTGGAAAGTGGGAAACTAAGTAATCTATGAACTAAGAAATTTAAACTAGCCATTTTATGTTCAACACTATGATGTGATTCATTAGGAATATATCTGCGTGTGGTCGTATTCGTATTTCTTTAAAGAGGAAATTGCAAGTATCCAATCCCTCATTACCAAAATTGTATGCTTTGCCAAAAATTCATAAACCGGACAAGTCTATGCGCCCAATTGTATCGGCTGTAGGTTCTCCGACTTATAATTTGGCAAAATGGTTATCAAGTGAGTTTGAAAATTTACCTGATCATGAACCTTCTTTCTCAGTTAGAAATAATATTGAATTCATTAACAAAATTAAAGATATAACATTGCATGAAGGTGAAATTTTGGTCTCCTTTGATGTATCTTCGTTGTTCCCAAGTGCTCCAATTCCACATACTTTAGGCTATTTGAAGGAATTACTGAACGCAAATGGTCTCGACAACAAAACTGTGATTGAATATATTGAGCTTACATCGTTATGTATGAAACAAAACTGTTTTCAATTTAATAACAACTTTTTTGAACAGCGGGAAGGTACAGCAATGGGTAATCCATTGTCTCCATTTTTGGCTAATTTATTCATGAGCAGGTTTGAAGTGGAAGCTAAGAATCAGTTTAAGTATTTTCCAAGAGTATGGGTTAGGTATGTGGATGATATTTTTGTTGTTTTTGACACACATTGAGACACCATAGATAATTTTATTTCTAAGTTAAATAATCGTTTTCCTTCCATTAAATTTACGCATGAAATTGAGAACAACGACAGATTACCATTTCTAGATGTATTAGTTATTAGAAATACTAATAATTGCGTGGAATTTGATATCTATAGGAAAAATACCACACGCTGATATATTCCTAATGAATCACATCATAGTGTTGAACATAAAATGGCTAGTTTAAATTTCTTAGTTCATAGATTACTTAGTTTCCCACTTTCCAACGAAAGAAATGAAATAGAAAGAGATTACATTAGGAATGTAGCTGAGTGTAATGGATATTCTCCTTCACTAGTTGATAAATTAATTAGAAAACGTAGGTATAGCTTAATGATTTCCTGAAAATTCGACTTTTCAAGTGGAGGAAGATACGTCTAAATATTTTTCGATACCGTTTGATAGAGAGTTATCCTGTGGTCTAAAAGTAATTTTTAAGAATGTCAATTATAAACTTGTGTATAGTGCTAATAATAAATTACAACAATTATTAGGCAATACAAAGGATAAAACACCTCCACTGGAAAGGTCGGGTATTTATGAAATTTCTTGTAAAGATTGTAATCAGAAATATGTTGGGCAAACTAGAAAATCAATATTAACTAGATTTAAAGAACATTTAGCTCAGATAAGATATGGTAAACCGGATAAATCTTGCGTTGCCGAACATATTGTTCATAAAGAACATTGTATAGATCTTAATAATTTAAAATTAATTAAACAAGTCTCAAATTACAGGCAATTAGATGCATATGAAAGCATCAGAATTAATAAATGTAAAGATAGTATGAACAGAGACAACGGTCCAATTCCTTCAAGTTCTTTGTTCCTACTACTCTAGTGGCGAAAATCTAACTGTTACGCTCAGTTGACTCTGACTCGGTTGGCTAGTTTTTGCCACGCCCACTCGGTGCCCACTGGGCGAGTATATAAACGCTCAACCTGTAGATTGTACTTTAGTTTATAATCATCTGCTGATGATGCTAACATGGTTAGCGAAACGCGCGTCCAGTGTAAAAGTAAAAGTGTTTTGGTGTATTGTGGGGATTTAGTGTTTTTATTTTACAATAGTAATATTTAAAATACCTTTTCACCTGCATATTTTTGAGAAAAATGCTGTTTTCTTATTGGTTATCAGAGAAGCGCCCCCTAGCGGACATTTCTCGAACTTGAAAATAATTTCTCGCGGGCGTCCATTCTTAGTTGGCCACCTGGTACAAAAAAATAAATCGTTTCTTCATTTTAAAGGTGAGGTGCGACCTCAAAGCCTACACTGACGAGCTGCCACTGATTTTATGTTCTTTGAAGTAATTTTTTTTTTCTACAAACGTCAGTAAAAATGTAATTTTTAACGCGTGCTGTCAGTGCCTCCTAAAATGTGACATTATGTCACTGATGGTAAAAGTCATTTACTTTTAGCACTAGTGCTATAACTAAGTCACGTGATTTACTTTTAACACTGAAGCGATAATATTACTCTAGCAACCATAAAATTCATAATTAATTTGATTTCAGTATGACATATTAGGTTCGTTCCAACCGGACCGAGAACCGATCCTGGGACGGTAATTTCTATTCGCCCACTTATTGTTTGAAAAGTTTGATCGTTTCTCAAGATTAACAAATGAATTGACTAATAGGAAATTACCGTTCTAGGACGGTTCTCTCGTCCGGTTGGAACAAACATAATATGAATTATTCATTAACGTAAAAAGTAATAATACCTTGATATATACGAGCATAAACTTGTTTGTAGAAAAAATATGTATGTGTATGATATGTGTGCTAAAAATGGTTTTATTTTGTTCGAAGGGATGGAACACTCTGCCTTCAAGGCTTCCCTCCTCACAAAATAAAAAAAAAATAATACTTATATCATTAATAACTATTAAGTGATGCGGTTTAAAATTCGAGAAAACATATATTTTCATCAATAGATTTGTGTCTGGAAGCGTTCTATACTTTCTTAATCTTTCTCTAATTAGTGTTCATTTTTGACAAGTTTTATGTCAGTTTTTAGTAAATAACGTCTAGATATTGACCTCGCCAAAATTATCATCGATTGTAATTCTACTGCCGTCTTTGATGCCGTCTTTTTTCGTTCGGTATTATACTGGGTGCGTCTCAAAAGTGGCTCACCCCTATATCTTTTTTATTTTTTCAAATAAAAAGCGAGATTTAGTATGTTAGTATATGACATAAATTAGGATTGAAACGTATTCAATGTTTTTCGGTTACTTCCTGTTTTACCGGGAATGACTATAACTTTTGATTTTTAAATGACACCATCGGTATTTTTTTACTTTATTCGATAGAAAATGATACTCTGAATCGAATGACGTATCACATGTCAACTTTTGACATATTCGCTCAAACAAATTGTTTTTTAAATTTGAATCTGGAGTGCCATGACTGTGTCACTAATTTTTAATTAAGGAGCCTTGGAAAAATAGATTTGATCGTCTAATCTTTTTCGTGTGTTTCCCTGGTCGGTTAAAAGATGCCCAAATCGTATTTTTAATCATATCTTAATTTTTTCAAATGGAACAAGGGTGGCTCATCAGTGTTGCGCGGGAAGCTGCGGGAAATCAAACGATACTGCTACTTTGAGAAGTGGAAAACGACTAATTTATTTATTTCAAAACAGTTGATATAGTTGACATAACAGTTTCAGAAAAGTTAACATAGATGTCACTAAGATGATTCTTTTAATACATTTTTAACTACATTACAATAGGGAAATTGCCCAAAAAATAAAATAATTTAAAAACCATTAAAATCGAAAGATATTATCATAAGGAACTTCCTAGAAAAAGAAAAATTCCAATAACAATTAAATTACCTGAGAAATAAAGGTTTAAAATTTGAATAATTTTACCTGCTCTTAAAACGCGCCGCCATTGGTTGTGACGTCAGACTGTTGTAGTTTGATCCGGGGACCGTGAAACTACCTGTAAAACATTCAATATTCGACCGTTGAACGTGGTTTTTGCTTGTTTTCGGAGAAAATTTTGTTGAATTTTCCTTGATTTGGTGATTTGTTATTATATTAAAGACTGAAAATGGTTGATACGGGTTTTATAAAGGGACAATCAGACAATTTACCCAGAGTTGATATGTTTATGACTGTATCATACATTCAACATTCGGAGGATTTTTCTCAAGCTGAAGTTCGTGGTGTAAAAGCTCGCAAGTAAGTATAAATCTCGGTATAAATACCTACCAATGTATCGCTGTTCTTATATTCTTTTTTAAAGCCTACTAAATTTCACAATTTGACATAACCTCACTAAGAAGTCTTAGGTATTAAAAATTGATAACAACAACTATATTAAGTATTTAGAATACTGTTTAGAATGAGCTTTATAAGCACCAGTAGTCCAGTGCTGATTTATTTTGATTTAACCTACCCACGTAGGTACAAATTCCTTTTTTGTATTCTTTAAAAAAGATCAATAAGCAAGAAAGTGGATTAGAAAATATTTACCCGATAATTTCTTATATTAGCTAGGTACTTATTTATGATTTATTTATTTTATTTTAGATCTGGAAGAGATTCCTATGGAGATTCTGCGGTAGGATGGGTTCAAGTCCAAAGAATCCAAAATATTTGCACGGTGAAGGCTAAAATAATACCAGAACATAATGTAAAAAAGAAGCAGTATGCAGTAACTTGCGTCATTGATGGGGTTGCTGAGAAGGTTTTGGACCTTCAGTGTCATGATTGTGCTGCTTCATTAGGTGAGTGTTTATTAACTACCTATACACTATGGTCTGCTGGGATTAATTTCTATTTATTGCATGCATTTTTTTACTTTTTGCCTTTTTATAAGGAATAATATAAACTCCTCTCAACATATTTTTTGTTTTATAATAAACCATGTTTTTTTTATAAAATTTTAGGTGGATGTAAACATGTCATTGCCTTTTTAATGTGGCTTCATAGAAGAAGCGAGGAGCCCTCTCCGACAGAAGTGGCTTGCTACTGGGCTAAGAGCAAGTTATCCAAAGTTGGGAGCTCAATAAAGTTTTTAACTCTTCGGGATCTTGGAGCTGAAGAGGAACTGAGTTCTGACGAGGAAGACTTACTTTTTCTACAAGAAGTTGTTAAGAAAGGTATAGAAAATACTTCGAACAGTCAGCTTTTGAAGTATTTTGTCCTTAACGGCATCAACGAACACCTGGGGCTATATCAACTTCTATTGAAATTTGTTGAAAGGCCAGGAGGGACATCTGATTGCACAGAATTTCTTAATTTCTGTTCCCAGCAAATGACCGTCGATCTGTGCTCTGAAGCTGCAATCAAAACCACGGAGCAGTCTGCATCTAGTCTTTGGTTTGACTTACGATTTGGGAGAATTACTGCATCAAAAATATATGATGCAGCCCATTGTAAAAAGAGTGATGGTTCTTTTGTAAATCAGATACTTGGTGTTACAAAAGTTCCAGTAACCGAAGCGTTACGAGGGAGAAAATTGGAAGAAGTATTGAAAGGGGCAGAACAAAAATTAAATGTAAAATTTAAGAGAGTAGGACTGCAGCTAAAGCCAAGATATCCTATATTTGGAGCCTCCCCTGATGCTCTAACAGATGATTATGTGGTGGAAATTAACTGTCCACAATCTGAAAAAAATATCTGTAACTACCTTACAAAAAACAAGGAAATAACTGCAAACAAAGTTACAGATGTTTTTTTTTGATATAAAGAGATGTTTATTTCCTCAAAATTTTGAGGAAAATGGTAAATCTGAACAAATTTGGGTAGAATATGATGAGGAATATGTAGAAATGTTGATGGATGCAGCAGAATGTTTTTGGCGCCACAATATATTTCCTCATCTATTAAATTCTGCCAAAATGTAAATTCTAATATTTTATAGTGTCAAGTATTACATATTATTATTTAAGATTATTTTTAAATTTATTGGCTAACGTAGATAGAATTTAAGAAAAAGCTGTAACATTAAAATTACAATTTTATATGTATTTAGGTTTTATTAGGTAGCTAATAATTTTGCTTTGTTTAAATACATAATAAAACAATAAAAACAACTCAAAAGTTTATTTGATCGATTATGTAATTACTGAAACAAAAAAAAATCATACACCAGTCAATATCCTAAAATAATATTTTTATTGTTTGCTTGAAAGAAAAATTGCATAAAAAACTGTTCAACTTTACAAAAAAATTATTTTCCTGTAATTATGCCTGATTGTAAGTTAATTAAGCCACATACAATTTTGATATACTATCTGTATATAATAATAATTTATTGTCGATGCAGGCATGAGGTGCTAAAAATGAAAATTCTCTTAACCTACGAATAACTCGTTCCACGTGTATCCTTAAACTTGCTATTCTTTTTGTTTCGAGAACTTCATCTCTACTGGGTTTTGTACCAGTAGAAACACTTGGGGGCCTAACTAAAACACAGCCTTTAGCCACTAATAAATGTTCAATGTGTTTAAATCCTCGGTCAGCCATAACACTCACATTAGGTGGTAAAGTTTCTAAAAACCCACTATGTTCCACAATAACTGCATCTGAGGTTCGACCCCCAAAACCTCCAGAAACAGAATTTATGATACCGTCTGGTGTACAAGAAATTAAATATTTGAAAGTATTGCACTTCTTATACTCTGACCACGTTAATGACTGGTTATTTCTAAGCAATCTATTATACAATAAACATTACTATACCGAGCTCGAAAGGCAAGTGGCAAATTTGACTTGACAAAAGAAATTTCAGGCTTGGTAATAAGTTTCCTTAAAAATTTATTAATAATTGGTACAGATTTAGCAAATATTTTAGAAGCATTACCCTCGCTTCTCCCAAAGTCATCTCCTAAGCATACAAATATACTTCCGGTTCTAATTTTTTTAAAGTTAAAAATATAGACATAGATTCTATTTTACAGTATTTTTCAAGCAAATGGACTACATAATAAGCATCATCAGGTAATCCCAAGTATAACCTAGGCCTATTTTCCAACTTCATTATTGTAGAGCTTAAACATATACTCTTAAATGAATTTTTCTTTTCATCAGATCGTTAGGTGCGTAGAAGGTTTTCAAATGTTCTCGTATGTACTAGTCCATTCCAGTGGGACTCGATTCTTCTCGAACGAATGAATCATTGCGGTGTCTATGCGATGTTAAAGGTCATCCGAGGGCGGGCCATATTGTGAGGTTAGGTCGAGTCCACACCGGCCCGCAACACTGCCTCCTTCTTAGGCACATGCTCGTCCCGAGATGTATACGGTGAATGAAGGTATTTGCAAAGCTGGCCCCTGGTACATTGCGAAGTCTGGTAGAAATAGCAGTCTACAGTTTTCTCTCCCGATCTCAGCTTTGGGTTGTAGCAGCAAACGAGGATCTCGATTCCCGTAAATCTGAACAAGACTTCAATCATGTTCCGGATTGTACGCCAACTCAAACCATCGAGTCCACACGCCAGCTTCGGAATGGCTAATCGTGCAATGTTGTTGTTTAGCAGGGCTTCTCTCAGTTCAATCAGGGTCTTCCATAGATTGAGATAAGTCGGCTTACTCGGGGACCATTCCTTGGTGACCAGGTAGAAGATGTGCCTTGCTTGACCATGTGCATTGTCGGTTAGCCTCAAGACGCTTCCAACCTCTGGATCCTGTCGGCGTAGTTCTCCGACACGCCCAAACTTCTCATTGAACGTCGCAGCGATTCCTCTGGACATCCGCAAATCTCGAGCCACACAATGAGCGAGCGAATAATCAGGAGGCACGGAAAAGAGGTCTCGTTGATCTTCTTTGGTTACACCATAGCGAGCCTTCTCACTGCTGTTGTATCGGGCCATGAAATCGTCAAAGGACATCTCCGAATCAGGGGGATCAAAGCTGCAGGTTCTCACGGTCCCAGCACGATCTTCTATTTCGCCTTGGTAGGGGCTCAAACGGTTGAAATGGACTACCCTCGGTTTTCCTTTTGGCAATTTTCTGATACGGTATACGACGTCATTAATTCTATCCATGACTTCGTATGGCCCTTCCCACGAGGATTGTAGCTTCGGAGATAACCCACGACGTCTCTGCGGGTTATATAGCCACACCAACTTCCCTGGTTGGTATCCTCCATGCTCAGCTTGAATGTCGTAGTGTTCCTTCATTCGGTCACTAGCACTTTGAATATTTAGGCGGACTCTCTGATGAATGTCGTCCATCCTTTGACGTAGTGTGTGGACATAATCTTCTCCGGCGACTTCTTCTCCCGGTCGGCAACCAAATTTCAGATCACAGGGTAGGCGCACTTCCCGTCCCATAACGATGCTGGCTGGAGTTTGCCCTGTAGATTCTTGGACGGATGAACGGTAGGCCAACAGGAACAGGTGAAGAAATTTGTCCCAGTCTCTTTGGTGGTCAGAGACTACTTTGGCCAGATAACGGTTGATAGTTCTGTTCATGCGTTCAACCATCCCATCGGATTGTGGATGTAGAGCAGTCGTCCTGGTCTTGCGGATGTTCAGGACTTCACAGACGCCTTGGAACAGATTGGACTCAAAGTTTCTTCCCTGATCTGAATGAAGCTCCATGGGAACACCAAACCTGCAGATCCATTCTTTAACAAGGGCATCAGCAATCGTGGACGCTTCTTGATTTGGCAACGCGTAGGCCTCGACCCATTTGCTGAAGTAATCCATTACTACCACAATGTATTTGTTGCCATCGTTCGTCTCCGGGAAAGGACCAGCCACGTCGATCGCTATTCGTTCGAAGGGACTACCAACATTGTACTGGCGCATAGGGGCTTTACCACGCTTTTGTGGCCCATTAATGGCTGCGCAAATGTCACATTTCTTACACCAGGCCCTCACATCTTCTTTGCAGTTCACCCAGTAGAACCGTTCACGCAGCTTGCCAAGTGTCTTGGTAACACAAGATGTCCTCCGCTGGTTCCATTGTGAACTTCCTCCAAGACTTCTGGGACCCCTCTTCTTTGGAATGACGATCTGCCTTCTCTCTTCTTGTCCCTCCGGTCTCTCGATCACACGGCGAAGTAGTCCGTTATCTATTACCAAAGAATTCCACTGGGCCCAGTACGACTTTACGTTTGGCGAATATCTGCAAACTTCTTCCACGTTGGTCTTTGGGCTGTGTTTTCAGTTAATTACTAAACCTAATTCTGGGTCACTGGTTTGGTCATTTGCAAGATCTTCGGGTTGCCAACTATCATTAACCACAGTTGTTCTTAGGAGTTTCACTTCTTTCTCTTCTGCTCGGGAACAATGCTTACAGTCCTTAGCGCAAGGTCTTCTGGAAAGTGCGTCGGCATTCCAATGGATTGCCCCAGCTCGATGTTCTGTGTCGAAGTCAAATTCTTGTAATTGTTCAATCCATCTAGCTACCTGCCCTTCAGGATTCTTAAACTGCAACACCCATTTCAAAGCAGCATGGTCTGTTCTTAACAAGAACTTTCTTCCATAGAGATACTTGTAGAAGTGTTCCACTGCTTTAACTACTGCTAGTAATTCTCGTCTGGTTACACAGTAGTTCCTTTCCGGTTTTGACAAGGTCTTACTAAAATATCCAATGACTTTTTCTTGACCATCCTGGATCTGAGACAGAATAGCGCCTAACGCAACATTGCTAGCGTCGATATCCAATATAAAGTTTCCGTTGCCAAGAGGGTAGCTAAGTATGGGCGCACTAGTCAGGTCCTTCTTCAATTTTCGGAATGCCTCGTCAGAATCTGAGTCCCAAGAGAAACGCCTCTCGCCTTCGGTAAGTCTGGTCAATGGTTTTGCGATGGTGGCGAAACCCTGTACATAGCGGCGATAATATGTGCATAGTCCCAAAAAGCTTCGTAGTTCATGTTTATCTTTAGGTATTGGCCACTCTTCCACTGTCTTGGTCTTCTGTAGATCTACCGCAACTCCTTGGGAGGAGACTACATGTCCCAAGTTTCAAACCAGAGCTCCCTAGTCGCTTGAAAACTTCTTCCAAATTCTTCAGATGATCGTCAAAGGATTTCCCAACCACTATGATGTCATCCAGGTACACTAAACAGGTAGTCCAGGATAGACCCTTTAACACAGACTCCATTAGTCTCTCAAAGGTAGCTGGCGCGTTGCACAATCCAAAAGGCATGACGGTAAATTGCCACAGTCCGGTGCCCACCGAGAACGCTGTCTTCTCTCTGTCTTTCGGCGCCATGTGACTTGCCAATATCCACTCTTCAGATCTAACGTAGAGAATATCGTTGACCCCGCCAGCGTGTCTAGAGTATCGTCTATCCTCGGCAGGGGATAACTATCCTTCTTGGTAACATTATTGAGCTGCCGATAATCAACACAGAACCTGGTGGTACCGTCTTTCTTCTTTACTAGTACTACCGGCGATGTCCACGGGCTGTTAGATGGTTCGATGACACCCTCTTCTTTCATTTCTCGAAGGATTTTATCAGCTTCTTCACGTTTGGCGAGCGGAAGTCTTCTCGGATTTTGTTTGATTGGTCGTGCATCTCCGGTATCAATTTTGTGTTGTACTAAATTGGTACGACCTCTCTGTCCTGCTTCTCCTTTATCAAACACATCTTGATACTTGATTATCAGGTTTCTCAATTTTCTTCTATTTTCGGGAGATAATCCTTTAACGTTTACTAACTCCTTCACCATTTTGTCCGGAATTTTTGAAGTCGAAACTTTGGAGGCTTCCACGCTTCGAACGACTG